TTCTTTCAGGCAAAGGGCAGAATTGTGGTGGTGCCAGGTAATGTTTTTTTGTCATCTGTAACAGGTCCTGTAGTTCCTAGTGCCCCTGTTTCCTAGGCTCTTGCCCTGGGATGCACTGTCTGATCTGGCTTTCTGAGCCAGGTCCCCAGGAGGAGGAGCTCCTGCTCTGGTGCGAGTAAAGGCCACGCAGCCAGCTAGGGATGGCAGAGCCCTGCAGCTGCTGCTCACTGGAGGATTTGGGGACAGCTCTAGATCTGTGGAAGAACATGAGCCAAGGCTTCTCCCATCTCTTTTCACGTGCCTGGGTCTCTGTTGTACCAAGGGCTGTCTTTTCCCTTCAGTATAGATGGTGCTTGTCCCTAGGGGTTAGGTCCCTGGGTGATGTCAGGTCTGGGATAGTGCCGTCTGCACTGTGTGTGACACCGGGATTCTTCCCACCAGGGGGTGGCATCACAGAGCGCAACCTGCAGAGGATTCTGGAAGGCTCCACTGCTTCTGAGTTTCACTGCTCTGCTCGATCAGCCCGGGACTCAGGGATGAAGTTCAGGTAACTGATTATTTATTTTTTAGCAAAACTGTACGAGGGAAAAGCTGGGTTAATGTGAACATGAGTTTGTAGAACAGGCATAGATTTCAAATGGCTTTCTGGGTGCTAATTGCGCTCTTGTGCTTGGGATCTTGATGCCTGGCTCTGTATTCTGCAGTGTATGAATCCAGTGGTGCTTATCATCTGGACATGAGCTCCATGCAGAACCAGATCCTAGGGGCATTTCTTCCGCTACTGCTGACCTCAGGCTTGTGAATGCGCTTCTGTGGCACTTGGGAAGGCATGTCCTGGTGTAGTTACTTTAGACCTTTAACACAGGTGTGGTTAGGATTTGGGAGACCAGCGGGATGTGCCTCTGAGGAATGAATGAGGAATGGCTTACGTTTGTCCACTGGGTTTCTGTTGATGCTGTTGTTTCTTGCCTTTGGATTACTCTTCTTTCTATTACTGTCTCATATTTGGTTTGGGTGGTGCCAGCAGGTTCTCTGACCACAGCTGGGACTAGTGGGTTTTTCTTAGCGTGTCTTACTTGTCTGTATCACCTGCAGATAGTAACCAGTGGTTTTCCTGACAGAAATCCGAACGTTGCCATGGGAGCATCCTTCTCCGCCCCTGAATACTCCATAAAGGTGGCAGATGTGGCCAAAGTGAGGACCCTGAACGCGATCGCAAAGAACATTCTGTAGTGGAAGGCACCGTGCTGGGACAAGAGCGCTGAGGCTCTGGGGTCTTCCACATGGACAGATGGGTACTGCTTCCGTCCTCGGGCTGCAGAGGATGTGAATTAGGTGATGAAGCCTGACGTCTCTTCCCTTGGCTTCCCCTGAATGACCAGTCCCTGGCCTGGAAACTTAACGTTGGCCATTTTAAATAAAAGGACTCGTTCCCAGATGTTGCAGCAACAAGCTGTTCGGCAGTATTTGGGAGGAAGGGAGCTGAGCAAGTAGGGGGACTGAATTGTGTAGCACTGCATGTGATTGTCAAATAAACACTGCAGCTGCCCCCCTCTTACTGTGCTTTGTTTAAATTTAATTATATTTTACAGGTAAGACTGTGGTCTGTGTTGCATAGCCTGAATTAATCAGGCCCCTGCTGCACCAGAGGAGAATAGTCGTGTCTAGAATGCCAAGTAGGGAAACATCATAGCCACAGCTGGAAAACGAGGCCAGTAGGGTAGTTGGGGATTAGCAACACAGCAGCTGCTGGGTAGAGCGAAGCATATTGATACGCAGAGGTGATGAACACATTAAGTTCTAATGGGAAGGAGCTTCTAACGACCTGACTGATTAGGTGAGGTAGTTGTGAGGTATCCTGGGCTGTGGTCTGTGAATGCTTGAGGTGGGGTGAGCATATGATGAGATTCCTTGGGAGGAAAAGGTGCTTTTTCTTGGGGAGTTTCCAGGTCCTTTTCCCAACATAAAGCACAAACTGCTTGTTCTCCAGACAGTGCCTGGGGGAATGTGCCTGTTAGGTTATTGCTGCCTAGTCAGAAATTGAAGCCTTAGACTCCTTCAGTTACGCTGCAAAATACCCGATGAAAAATCTGAATGGCATCAGAGTGATCCATTAAAAGAGCAGAGACCCAGAAACAGAGCACATATATTCTTGCTCCTTGTTCTTCTCTAAAAGATCCGCAAAGCTGAAGAGAATCCTGCTGACAGCAGAGACAGTGGACCTCCTTGCAAAGCAAAAAACAGGGTTCAGATTTGTCTGCCCATCTCGGCAATAGCCTACAGCCTGTGAGGATGGACAGGAAAGTGGAATGTTTGACAAGGTGGCAGCACTTTTTGTCACCTTAAACAGAATCGAGTCATTGAAAACGTATAATCAAGACTAACGACGTACCTTCAGCTCATGGGTGCATCTACCTTTTCACATGGATCCATCAGAGGTATCGCTGTCTCCCAAAACACACCTCGGGAACGTGCGTGGCAGTTATCAATGCAGGAGCTGGGGAGGGCATGGCTGCTTGGTGCTGGTGTCAGAGCCCACTTCAGCACTGACAGATGTGCAGGCAGCAGGAAGGATCCTATCTCAGAAGAAATGACTAAATTTGTGGTTATAGTCAATATAGTTCAGAACACCCGATTTGAGAGTTCATTGTGAGATTTCGTAAGTCATGGTGATGATTAAGATACCGGTAGCTCAATTAACATGAATATTCTGCTGACACCACCACACCACCCCCTTTCCCCCCCGCATCATAAACACAGAGTTTGGTTCTTTCCTTTTGTGTACAGTTTAAAAAAAAAAAAAAAAAGGGCAAGGAAAAAAGGGTTTTGAACTCACATGGGGTTACAGCATAACAAAGCAGAGAAACAAACCCTTCAGAAACACAGGGCTGGACTGATTTGTAGATTGCCTTGCAGAAGCCTGTGTCCTGGACCAGACCCTGTGTGAGACAGGCGTGAAGCAATGCCTACTTTTGAAAACTTAAGGTATAAGATGGTGGACAACAGGTGGGTAAAGGCAGGGGAGCACAGGGGAAACTGTGGTATTGTTGGCCAAAGAGGTCTTACCACCTTGATTAGCTGGTTCCCAGTGAACATTTTCTGGGTACTGTAGCGAAGGAGGGAGCTGAAGGGCAGTGAGGTGGCTTTGTGGGTTTAGGAGGAGCATGTCCCAGGTAGGAGGGTAGAGAAAGTGGGGGTGTGCTTGCTTTGAAGACTGAAGATAGCTGGTGTCCTGTGCTGAGCAAAGCACTGCAGTGCTGAATGAGAGATCAGAGACGGGGTGAGCATGGGCTGTGACAGGAACTGAAAACAGACAAGCATTAAAATAGGGAGGTGTTGTGAGCGAGTGGTCCCCTTGGCAGCGGCGCTCCAGGTGGGTATGAGCAAGGCCAGAGGACGCCTGTGCCAGCGAGCAGAAAAAAGAATCATGGCAGCACTCTGGATGGAGAAGGGCTGAGGGAGTGACTGCTCCCTTCACTTACTTCTTACCCATTGCCTTGGGTTGCTGCTCTCAGCAGCCATGTGTTGGTTCTGGCCTGGAGGACCTAGCCCTAGGGGTAGCTTTATTTACAAAAACAAGTGGATTTAATCAGACAAGCCAATAATAATTAACCAATGAGTTGGACATTGAACCTTTCTCTGGTATGGATGGTAAGGGGGTTGTTGCAGAGCAATTACTCATAGTATCACCCTTGATTTCTGAGTGATGTACTAACTCCATGAACAATGAGACAGCAGAATCCTTGCAGTCACCCTGCCGTCCCCTTTTGCCTACTGCTTCCCAAGAGCATGCGTGATAAAGCAAATTCAGTTCCAGCCAGTAACACCACCCCCACCTGCCCCCACACCTCCACCTTTCTAAGCAGCAGGGTGATGATTTAGGAATGGTCCTCTGGCTGTCTCAGTTGTTGGGGTTGCCTTAGAATGAATGCTCATTTGGGTTTTGCAGTCAGCCTAACATGCGGGTAAGACAGAGATGTGGGGAAGTGAGAAGCAAAAGGAAGAGCCGGGGAAGTCTCCAGGCTCTGCAGGCCAGACAAAGTTGGTAAAAGGAACCCAGATCCTGGGACTCATAAAGACCACTGCAGCACGCGGTCAGGTCAGTTGCCGCATGCTGCAAGTTCACAGGCCTGGAGCTGATGTCCTGGGCCTTCTTGCTGGGTGGCACATGAAAGAAAAGAGTACTGTTGTCTTTGGATCCTGAGGGAACAGCCTTTGCTGGACTTTTTGGCAGTGTACAGCAGGCTTGTTCTGGCAGGAGAGGTCTGTTACACCAAAGCAGTGTCTTTGGTGGGTCCATACGAGCTTGTCTTTGTTGGAGCGCACTGATGAAGGCTGTGGTTTCTGCGCAGTGGCTGTGGTGTCCTGCAGTGACTCTGTGACAGTGGCTTCCCTCCATCTCCCCTTTGATCTCTTTCTTGGGTCTTCCTCTCCTCCCTTCCCCAGAGCCCATGCAGTTTCCAAAGCCCTTTTGATCACTGCTTTGGTCTGTGGTGCAATAGCATCAAGTTAACAATTAACTGTGTGTCATCAGGGATTTGTCCCAACACCACTTGAGTGTGTGTGGGGAATTTTGTCCCAAGCATCCAACCCAGGACTCTCACAGCCAGGCAGAGCAAGGGGAAGGAGCTGCCCTCTCTTATCCCCTGAGCCATGTCAGCAGTCCTGGAGGAATTCTGTGGCTCCATCTTTTGGGTGAGTGGCTGCATCACCCCCACTGCCCATCCTTGGGTAGGACGCCCAGTGGAAGGGGAGAGCAGGAGATCCCAAGGCTCAGAGCTTGTTCAGCCAGTGGGACCTAAGTGCCCTTGGTCGGCAGAGGTTCGTGGCACTGAGCACAGTGCACTGCCTGCATGGTATCCATGAGGCAACGATGCAAATGACAGTTCCCTGAGGGAGCCCTGTCCTGCTTGAGCCCCGCACAGGAACACAGGATGCCCTGCACGGACCTCTCAGGGAATGATTTGGGTCCAGCGAGGGGTGGTTGTGGGGGAGGCGCTCCCAGGTTCAGGCAGATAGATGGTAGGGGGACATCACCTGGGACCTTGGCTGAGTGCTGAAATGCTCAGCCGGGAAGGTGGTGTTGAGGAGGGGGGTGCGATGGGGTGGAGCAGGGTGGACAGGAGCTATAGGAGTGCTGGCTCTTGTGCTGTGAGCCAGGTGAGGGTCCAGCCATCCCAAGTGACTTGGCTGTCTGTCCTTGCTGCCTCCCAGAATGCCTCCTACCTTGCTCGTCCGGATGCTGACCTGCCCGTGTGCTTCCAGCAGACCGTGCTGGTCTGGGTCCCCCTTGGCTTCTTCTGGATTTTGGCTCCATGGCAGCTCCTGCCCTTGTGTAAATCCAGAGCCAAGAAATCATCTGTGACCAAACTTTACATCATCAAGCAGGTAGAGTGGGGCTGGGAGGGCACAAGGGGCAGGCTGGGATGGAGGGGTGGTGAGTGGAAAGCCTCCGTGCTGGAGTCATGTGTGGGATGGAGAGATGCGAAGTGTAGGAGAGAAGGAGCAATTGGCTAGAGCACCATCTGGGACAGAAACTTAAAGGGGGGCCTCAGGATGAGGCATACCTGGGACAGGGGGGATAACAGGGCTGGGATGCACTGGGAGGGAGGGCAGAGGTGTGTACTGGGGCCTCTTACCTTGTGGGTGTTACTCTCCAAGCTTAAAATGATGGCAGTGTTCCCGTGGAAGTCCTGCAGTTTCACTGGGCACTAGAAAGCTCTTCCAGACCAGGTTTTGGTTGGAAAGGGTGTAACTGTGTATGGCACATGGCGCTTTTATGCCCAACGGTGTTGTCTCTCACTGGTTCCCAGTGCCCACGATGGGCTGGCTCTCTCCTCACGGCTGCTTCCCTCTCCCCGCAGGTGCTGGCTGCCTTGCTGATGCTGACAGCAGTGGCAGAGTTGGCCCTGGCATTTGCAGAGGACACAGAGCAGGACCCCCTGCCAGCTGTCCGGTACACAAACCCCAGCCTGTTCATCGCCACCTGGGTAAGGGATCAGCTGGTAAATGTGCTGTGTGTCACCGAAGAGACAGGGTGTGAGACCGTGGGGCCAAGCAGCGGAAAACGTCCCATAGCACAGAGATCAGCTGGAAGCCATGTCCACGAGGGAAGCATAGCCTGAAGGATGGGTAGGGACTAGCCCTGAACGTGTGTGGGTGGTGCACAGGGGCGATATGTTGAGGGCAGGTGTCTGGTACTACAGTGTTCCCTCCTTTTATCCTAAAAACTGGGATAGGTACTATGCCTGTGAGCATAGCCGAGCTTTCTGGCAGAAGCCTTAGTAGCAGCAGTGTGGGTTTCACAGGACTGATTGCACAGCGTGAACATCAGACCATGGCTTGCTGCTCTCGTGTTTCACAGCTTCCCATGGGTTTTGGCTCAGTTTTGTGAGAGAGTCGAGAATTGCCGCAGGATACGCAGGCAGAGGAGAAGGCTGAGGACAAGCTAGTAGCTTGATGGAGTATGTGCACGGAAGTTGCAGATATCTTGTATGAGACACGGGCTGTTGGTTCTAACAGTCTTAACAAAGCCATAAGGCTCAGGACTTACACTTAAAACCAAAAGTAACACCCCAATTTGCTATCCTTCATATTTTGTCTTTTCATTTAGTTTCACGTGCAGAGTTCACGTGAGATTATAAGCCAAGGGCACTGCCCAGAGAGGCTGCACTGCTGGGTCTCTGATCTGGCTTTAGTTCCAGGTCTGGAGGCAATATACAGGAGACAGGCTGTGACTCCTCACAGCTGGGCGTATCTGAGAATCTGGGGTGAGAACAGCTAAAAAAAAGAAATGGCACCCTGCTGTAATGTCAGGGTGTCTTCAGACCTTGCTTTTCCTATGAGGAGCCTGATCTTACATCTTTCTGAAATAAACCTTTGCCCTGTGCAATTAACTCTGAAGCTTATGTAGGGTTGGCAGCGACCTCAGGCACTGGGAGCTCGGTGTCTTCAAGGCAGAGAATCCCAGCAGGTCACATGTGCTGGCATCCCAGAATACATGCTCCAAAGGCACATTTAGAGCCCAGGCCTAGTCCTGCAGCACTACCTGAACCTCTGACTGGTTTTCTTTCCCCCAGCTCTTGGTCCTGCTGATCCATGATGCACGACGCTTCTGCTTGTGCAGAGACTCGGGAATACTTTTCTGCTTCTGGACACTGTCCCTGCTGTTTGGGATATTGCCATTCCAGTCACTCCTCCGGAGGGCCCTGCAGGTTGGGTTTATCAGGAAGCTCTGTGCTTCCCTATGGTCTTGTTCTGTCACCAGAGAAGGTCCCTTCAGGCTTCATCTCTTGACAAGCTCTCAGTGGTATCCCTGTGGTCGCAGCACAAGGTCGCAGGACCTTGGAGAACCGGAAGAGACCTGAGAAGGAATGGCTCTTTGAATTCATCCTCTCTCCTTGGGGAGGCATAAGCTCTCCAGCACCAATTTCTCCCCTTATGGGCTTATGGGAGGAGGTCAGGGAGAAGCTGGGAAGGGCAGTGAAGGGAAGCTGAGCCAGGACCCAGAGCGAGTTTTGCACTGCCCTGTTGGGCTCAGCCATGTTCACTGTCCTGGGGATGGATCTTGTCTCTGATCTTGTCAAGTGCCAGGTGGCCTTGAGACAAGCCCCAACAGTCACCCTGGACTCTCCATTCCTGCAGGCACCAATCTCCGACATGCCACAGTTTGTCCTTTTCTTCATCTCCTATGGGCTCCAGCTGCTGCTCTTCCTTGTCTCGGGCTTCTCGGATGTTGCCCCAGAAACAAAGGAAATTGGGAAGAAGGTGCGTGGTCCATGCAGGAGAGGGATTTGGGCTCGGGGCACCACATCCCGGCTGCCATTGCGTGGGGCAGGGTGGGGTCCATGCAGACACTGCTCCTGGCTCCCATGGGAGGGAAGACCTGAGGGCTTTAGCAGTGGGCACAGCGAGAGCTGGAGCCTGCAGCCTGGAGCATCTGCATGTCCAAGGTGGGCTGCTTCTGGCTGTGAGATGGGGTTCCTGGGGCTGGAGCTGGCACAGTTTGAAACCCCTGGGGTTCCTTAATGGCTGGGGGTGCTGAGTCAACTCTTGTCAACACCTCCCCTCAGCATCAACAATCTCTTGATACCCACTTTGCTTTGTACCCTAGAACCCAGAGGTGACAGCCTCCTTCCTGAGCTCCATCACCTTTGAATGGTACACCAGGTGAGCAGGGCTCCGCCAGAGGTTGGGCTGGTGGAGTGCGGGGGTGCTTTAGGGCTGGGCCGGTGCTGTTTTGGGGAGCCTGGAGCACAGGCTTCTTGGAGGTAGTTGTGAGAGGCACCACATTCAGTGCAGTCTGTGCAGCCTGAGCTCAGGGCCAGGCTGGGTGTGAAGGCTCTGCTTTTGCAGCAAGGACTCTCCTTCGGGTGTAGTGTGGGAGACTCGCTGATGGAAGGTTTCTCTGCCCCACAGCATGGTTTTCAAGGGCTATCGCAAGCCCTTGGAGATAGAGGATATCTGGGAATTGAAAGACAAAGACAAGACGCAGGCTATTTACGCTGTTTTGGAGAAGAACATGAAGACTGCAGTGAGGAAGGCCCAAGCAGAACTGGAGAAACGGAAACGCAAGAAAAGACGCCGGGAAGGTGACCCAGACCATGGGAACAACATGAGCAAGGCCCAGAGCCAAGACATCCTGGTGCTGGTAAATCCCTTCCTACTCTTGGCCTCGCATGAGAGATCCAGGTCCAGCCTTGGGTTAGCAGGGTCACCTCACCTCCCTGCAGCCCCCTTTGCTGTGTTTTCCCCTCTGGTTCTGCAGGGCCATGGGCAAGGATGGGGCAACCCATGACAGGGTCTTCCCTGTTCTCGTCAGATCCCCCTGTTTTGAGAGACCAAGAAAGTCTCCATCCTTCTGCCCTACAGAAGGACAGGAATCACCCTCAAGTCTGTAGTACACACAGCTCCCTCGGCTCTGTCTTTCCCTTCCCCCGACA